AAAAGGTAGAGACGCCCTGTTGCCTGCTTATTGTACACTTTGTGAGCTAATCCAAGCACAGGCCAATCTCAAAGGGGGGGGCCGGGGGGGGGACCTAACAAACCTGAGCTGAGCGAAAGAAGCAGCCACGCAGCGAGGTCCGGACCGCTGGCGGCGGTGCAAGGACACGCGCAACACATTTACTATTCATCGTTTATTTGATACTTTTCCCCAGGTCCTGACTTCAGGGATCGTCCCTTCTTAGGAGTGGCCGAACGAGAGCTTGCCAATGCTTTGGCGGAGAAAGTCCTCGAGCGCTTAGGAGGCTCGAGCCCCGGAGTCACCTGCACCTTAAACAGGTTCTTACTGCCGAGGCTGCAGCATGAGAAGCTTTAGAATGTTGTTGGATCCTTTAACACCCCCACGCTGGAGCACATGGGCCGTCGTAGGTATGGTAGTGCTAAGTAGTAAAGTAGTAAGGTACTACCAGTAGTAATAACAGGAGGAAGGTAAGTTTGAGTAGGAGAAGGCGAAGGAACAGCAGGAGAGGATCTCAATTTGATTCCAATTGCGAACAATGACGTTGCGGATTTTGAGGCCGGGAAATCATATTATCACCCCCTGATCCAATGTGCGCATGGGGCAAATTGAGCACAACAGAGCTTCGCAACTCAAGTCAAATTGGAAATTCGGAATCTCAGGATCTTCTCTGGCCATGGGAACCTTTTTATGTTCGCCACCGTTCTTGGGGAGGGCAATTCAATTCTTGTGACGAAAGTCTTCCTGAATAATGAGCCTTGTATGCTGCATAGTCATAGGATGTGTTACATCGCTTTGCTTTTGAAAGGCTAGCAATGGCATCCAGGGGAAGATGGCGTTGTAAGCACGCGCATGACAATTTAACGTCCTTGGCGTCAATTCTACGTCTTTTGGCCAAGATATGTCTTGTACACGCCTTCGACTCCTATCCGTATAGTATAGGGTCAGTCGCCTACAGCACATAAACATATATTGAAGCTGTGAAGAGAGCTTTGTTCTGAGTGGCAGGTGCGGCAGGCTCAGAGTTTGCAGCTGATTTCTGGAGTCTGTCTGATGGAGGCTGCTGGGGACTTAGGAGACCCTGTTTTTCTTTACCTGCGCAGAGTTTGCAAGCATGCGCAGGTGATGAAGGTGAGACTTCTACTCGACACAGGAGCTGCAAACTGCACGGGGGACACAGAAGCCAAACAAAGTCTGTTTCGCTAGCAGAGAGCTGCGCTGCGCGCAAGCATGTTCGATTTGTAGTGCATTCGGCACACAAGCCCATTCTGCTTGCTTCATGTTTGTTGCTTTGTAAAGTTTAGGCTTGTTGTTATGCTTTACCTGTTCCGCTTGGAATCCCATGTTCAGCAGTGTTGAGCCACACTTTGCACTCCTCTGCAGAGTCTGTAGAAGCAAAGCCTGAGGAAGCGCGCCAAGCCCGCGAAATCTGAGACGAAAGAGAAGGCTCAGCAGCTGAACGCAGCTCCCACATTTTGAGGCCTTCTTGAAAGGTGCTCAAAATCATCGCAGTGAACGCTCACGCGCCGGACTCTGTGCTTCCGGCAAGTTGCGGAGTTTGTGCCAGAAAGATCTCAAGGGCTGGCCTTCTGGAGAATCGAAGGTATGGGTCCCAGCATACATGGCAGCAGCCCGCAAGGAATTGGGCCTTAAGCATGTGCCCCCTCCATGTAAAGTAAGAAGCTAAGGGGCTTGGTCTGTGGTTGTGGCAGGCCCCGCTTTTCTGATTTGGGTGCAGAAGGGAGACGTGCTTCGAGCTCTGCAGTTGCAAGGCTTACATGAATCATGCAAACCCTCGTGAAGCGAATTGCGCGTGTGTCTTTATTGGGGAGGCGAGGCTCAGTGGCCTAGGGAGCCATACTTGAGACATTTTCCTTTTTCACACGCTCTTGCAGGTCCTCCTCATGCGGGCGTTGAAGAAGATCACAGCAGAAGAGGCAAAAGTCATCATGAAACCTGGAGTTCCTGTCAGCAGTCCAGGAGTGCGTCCACTCCTACTGCCCACCCTCAGCCAGTTTTTCAGTGCGCTCGGCCATCCTGAGGCCACGCACGACTAGTGGCTAGGACTAGGACATCTGAAGACTTCCTTTTCAAAGCTTTGTGAGCTTTCTGAGCTGTGACAGCGGAGGCACTGCGGAGTCCCCCTCGACCCGGCTTTCTCCCGGACGCAGAGGCTTCGAAGACAGAGCAAGAGCCAGGGAATTGTGAGATGAGAAGGTTTTGGGAAGGCAAGGATGAGGGCAGTGGAGCTTTGGGAGCAAGTCTGCCAGCTGCTCAGCTGAAAAGCAAAGCAACAACGCTCAGCTGCTCAGCTGAAAGTTGCTGGCAGTGTCAGGGCCTTGGCCCGCACCATGACGGAGGTGCTGTTTGTGCAGATTGACGTTAACTTCACTTGTGCATTCTTGCATTGTGCATCCTGTTTGTGCACCTGCTTGGGCCCTAAGCCCAGGAAGCAACCAGGGCGTTGCACGAGGACAACCGCCGAAAGGCATGCGAGTTGTGGACGAAGGCCAGGCCCTCCCAGCCTTGATTTCGGCGGAGGTCTGTGCAGTTTGACGCGGAGGTACTGAGCTTACACGCTTCCGACCATGAGAACAGGCCCAGCATGTTTCAAGCCCAGCCCAAACTAAACTCTGCGCCAGGGTAGCACTTGCTTTCTAATCCTGAAGACGCTCATCTCCAGAATCTCTGGCTCGAGAGAAAGCGAGTAAAGTGCGAAAAGGGCTCAAAGGCGTGAGACGATGCTGAGCTCCAAGCAAGTGGCTGGCGACTCCGCCACGTCGCCCTTGGCACCAGGCCAGGTGAAAAGAAACAAAGCGATAACCGATAACGCATGCAAAAAGACTGGCATAACAAGCTTAAAAGAATCATTTCTTCAGTTTTCTTGTGTTTCCCTTTGCTGAGGTGGTTTGGTGCGTTGGGTCCTGGTGAATGACGGCACCTTGGCCTGGCCCATGGGCACCACCCTGCGCGCCTCAGCTGAAAAGGGTGGCCGAAAGGGTGGCCGAAGGGCGCGCAGCAGCATGCGGGGCGCTAGCATGCGGGGCTGCTCCCAGCGAGGTCTTGTCTCAGGGCCCGTCCTGGCCAGCCCCATCTTGGAAGTTCCCTCGGCATTGCCGGGCCAGACCTTGGAGCTTGGCTTGGAGGTCACCACCTGCGAAAAGGAACACATCATGGAGGCCCCTAGGACTCTACTTGCATGGACAGGTACCAGTAGGACTGCACAGGAGCAGAAGAGGTATTTTTTTGCAGAATGCCTGCAGGCCAACTACTGTTTGGTGACGCCTTGTGGTGAGCCTTTTGGGGAGCTCCTCAGCAGGTTCCCTAGTCTTTCGATAGCGTTGCACCAACATTGCCAGTCTGTCTTCATTTAGGCTTCAGCGTGGGAAAAGAGGAGACACCAAAACCTCCTCTTTGTGGCATCCTTACGGTTCCCTGGCAGAGCCCAAGCATCGCAGCATCGGCAAGACGTTGTCATGTCTCTGCCAGGCTCCTCAGAGCCTCTCAGATGCATTGGCATTGAGCATTCCCACTACAGTGCTGGACAGTATCCCTGCTAGGTATAGACGCGCTTCAGGGCGAAATGAAGACCTTGAAGTGGACCTTGACCAATGCTGGCGAAGTTGACTGGCCTTTGTCCGGGACCTCAGTGAGCATAAATTTGTTAATAAGAGATGCCATTGTGCATGTACTAACTTATGGTATGCAGGGGCCCGGGGGAGCACGAAGCCCCTCTTCCACCAAGAAGGGCTGCAATAGTTCAGCATGTCAACGCCCTTAAAGTGTTTTACCTCCCCCCCAAGGACAATAAAAGCTCCACGGCCCCCTCAAGACAACCATCTCTCAAGTCCTAGCATGCCTGCAGCGCGCTACAGCATCACAACCTGAGCCTCTGGCAGTAATACGAAGTGAAGAAGGGGCTGTGTTGTCAAACTGTTAGTCATGTCGTGATGTCTTTTTTCTCTCCTTCCCGGTTACAGCACTTCGTCGCAGCCCGAGGCTGACTCCTCTCCCCTGGTCTCATGAGACATCATGAGACCTCTCCCAAAGTCAAGGGCAATGCCGCCAATGCTTAATGGGGGCAACGCATTGCCAAAGTTGCCCAGGCTGGCAAACACCGGGCAAAGCATGTTCAAGCCAGAGTGGTGGGGTCTGAAAGAGCATTGGCGCGGACTGCAGCTTCAGGGACTGCAGCTTTTCTGTGTGAAGCTGGCCAGCGCGGGTCACAATTATTGTTTTCTGGGTCTCGGAAACCCACACGCCACGCGTTTCCTCTATGATTTCGGGCGTCAGCCAGATGCAAAAACACAGAGAGGATCTGCAGATGAGGCCAAGGCAGACCGAGGTTGCACTGTCTGTATTCAGGCTGAGAGTGTTCAGGAGCAAGCCTCGCGCTCTTTTTTTCAATCAGTCTGGACTGCTAGCTTGGCAGAAGTCCTGCACTTTCTAGAGAACCTCGAGAAGGTAGCCTTTGACACAACATCTTGGCTGGAAACGCCATTGTCAAAAAAGTGCGGCCGTCCATCCGGGGTTGATGCTCCCTCCTTCCACCAGTCTCAGGCATCAGGCGTGCGAAGCAACAATGTTACAATGTTCATGGCTCCACAACTATAGGGCGCACATCCAAAGAAGTAGCTGGGCTTTCAAGGGCGTACAAGCCGGATGGCCAACCTCGTATGTCGCTGACCCGCCACCAAACACGCAGATGTCTCCACATTACGTGGCTCAAAGCAAGTCCAAGCAAAGCGTAGAAAACCAGAAGGCAACAGCTGTATCTGCAGCTGTACGCAGGTCAATCGCGGAGCCAATGTGTGCGTGTAAAGCCAGCAGCTTCCGATGAAGTCTTGACAGTCGATCCCAGATCTAGACACCAACTTGGCCCAACATGTGTCACTTAGCCCAACTCAATTACCACTTGTGAGAACTGCCTGAGTGCATGGCATCCAGTTGGTTGCTTGAGCTTGCTTGTGAAGGCATGTGCATTCCTAACTTCAGCTGGCCCAGACGACATAGGTGTGCATGAACATTGCTCGCCATTCCGAGAGTCCAGGTCCGCTTTCCAATACACAGGTGTTTCACAGATGCATGACCTTAAGACCCTTTGCAGTGCTTGGGTAAAAGTGCGCAGCCACGTTGCCAGTGCGGACTTCGCACTGGTAGCGGAGCTTTGAGCCATGGCAAATGGCGGCTCCGGATCAGGCGGCTCCTTCTGGCGCGATGATGAGATTGTGGTTGACCGAGACGGGATTCCACATTACACAGGCGTCCAGCCGGGACTCATGAAAGAGTACCGCCGCCGCGTGCTCTTCGCTTACAACAACCTGGAGGGCAGTGGCGATGATGAGGAAAAGGAGCGCCGATCCTTGGCGAAGAAGAAAGCTCGCTTTGGGCTTCGACTTGTTCATGGTCTGCATGGACAGGCTTGGAAGGAGTGCGAAGAACTGGTACTCACGCCAGAGAAGCTGAAGGACCCAGAGCCCAGAGGGCTACAAGCTGATCTTTGCCGCGCTCCAAGGCATCGAGAAGGTCGGGGTCATAAAGAGAACCGAGGCCTTCGAGAACTACTTTGACCACTGCCATCGCAGACGTGGACAGACCATCGACAGCTTTCTTCGACAGCGCCGCCAAGCCTGGGCCGACCTGGAGGACCTCCAGGACAGCCCCGACTACACGGACGACGGCTAGCAGGAGGAGACGGAGGTTCCCGGCTCCTACGCGGATGTTGTCTTGGACGACGAGGGCGACATGCCATCCAACCACTAGCGAGGACGATGATGTTTTCCAGGCCTACGCCAGCTATCAAGAGAGTCGCAAGAAGCTCAGGGAGATCCAGAAGAACCGTGGATTCAAGCCAAGGGAGCCTGGAGCCATGTCGGAGGAGCGGCGCCAAGCAGTCGCTCAGCAGAAAGCGAGGAGCCGTTGTGCAGTCTGCTCGCGGCTTGGTCATTGGGCAGGTGATCCTCAATGCCCAAAGAGGACCAGTGCAGGCTCCAGCAAGCACAACGAGGGCGGCAAGAAAGGCAGCTCCCGAGGGAAGAGTCGAGACAAGGCATACTTTGTGGCCACTGCCAAGTCCGACCCCCGCTTCTTTAGCATCCGGGACGACGATGGCAGCACCAGCCAGGACGAGATGGAGCAAGACAGCGGGATGACACCTGTGGATGAGAGGCGCAAGCACGAGCCATGCAAGCGCCAGCTCAAGAGTGGGAGGCTGTGCCGCCACCGCCGTTCCCTAGCAGCGGCGGCTACAACGACTTAAGCGACTTCGGCAACCATGGTGGCGAGTCGGTCGACCACCAGGACGTGACGGTGCCCGTCCGTGTGAAGAAGGACGATGTGACGATCATTGCAGTGAATCAGTGAAGGACTTTGCTGGAGTTCGCCCAGAGAACCTGCCGCAGCTTCGAGTGAGAGAGCTCCAGTGCGACTGTGATCGCTGGGGGGCGCCGGAGAAGCTGTGGCCAAGAAGGGTGCGCCGACAAGTTCGTGCAGCTGAAGCCGAGCTGGACTACCACTACGCCGGCGGCAGGTTCGGCTGGCTCATCTTCTACCGCAGGGCCATCCAGAAGCACTATGTCAGCAGGAATACCGCGCGAGCAGCCAGCCGGCAGCAGCAGCCGCAGCGGCGCCAGCCGCCAGTCCAGACATCATGGCCTCCCGTGTTGGCAGTACATTTCGTGCCCCCGGGAACCGGGGCCAGCTACAAGAGCACCAAGGAGGTTGTCATCGACCCCCGTTCGGGGAAGGCGCTGCCGCAGGATTGGCAAGAAGGTGCGCTTGTGCCCGGCGCTTGTTGCCCTGTTTGCAGCAGTGGCATGGTTCTTCGCCGCCGTCGCGACGGGACCGCTTATTTCCTGGGCTGCTCAGAGTTCCCGCGAAGTAGAAGCTGCCGAGGCACACGTGAATTGGGTGAGGTGTTGGCTCACTCAAAGACAGAGGTGGCTGGACACCTCTAGGCGAGGAAGCCGCAGGAGCAAGGTTTCACTGTCTTCGACCCGGGCGGCTGGCCATCGAGGTCTGGACTTTGCATTGCCGTCGAATTCAGGGACAGAGCCCATGCAATTTCAAGCACTATACGTCGACATCGACGAGGCCCAAGCCAGGAACTGAGAATTCGTTTGAGTACAGTTACACTGGGAAAATTTGCCCGGTGATGGGGAACAACCTGAAGCAGGAGATCACCACATGCTGGGCGATCATGGTCGGGAAGCTCCCGACGAATCCCGCCTGGCTTTGATCGATACGGCTTGCACCTCGTGCCTACATAGCAAGAAGTGGCGTGAGCGGTGTCAACGGACCCTGCCTCCAGGAGCACTTTGCGTTCCCACAAACGCCAGCAAGTTATTTCATTTCGCCGATGGCAAATCATCGCAGGGTCGCCTGACGGTATGGCGGGTGCCGATCTTTCTGCGAGGTGTACAGTGCGGAGGTAGAGAACGGAAGTACGCCGCTCCTCTTGCACCTCCTTTGCCAGCACCGGGCCCCGGCACCGCCTGAGCCAGAGGCGACAGGAATTCGAGGGGTCTCAGCAGAAAACAAAATCGGGGAGATCAAGCCAGAGACGAGCCCGAGAGCTACTTCATGCGGAGCGTGCCCAT